TTAGATCTCTGTGTAACAATTTTATTGCACTAGACAGTTGCTCTTTTGGAAGATGGGTTAAGCTATATTTCAAGTTCATTCTAAGGGAAATATTCCTGAGGAGCCACTTTGAATAGACAACTTATTAAAGTTTCAAGCACACCACTCAGCATAGGAAGTAAAATAAGTGTTCGATAATAGATGGAGGGAAAAAAATCCCACTTGGGAAGAGTTCTAGAATCATTAATATGCAAAAAGATATATACAGGATTCCAATGAATAAAATGTCCCATCTAGTTGTCAACAGAGATTTTTGTTTCCACCCTTCCACTCATAGAAGCTATTCCATATGTGACAGTGTTCCCAAATCTGCACTCATTATTAGCCTTGATAGCTACACCTGATACCTCCCATGGAGATATATCCAATATAAATGCTGAGAAATTGGTAGTCACTTAAAATAGGACCTGAAATTAATTAACTTGCCTGTGACTTTCTTAACTAAGAAGTTATCTTGGTAACAGATAACTTGGTAACAGATTAAAAAAAAATTCAAAGGACTTTGTATTAAGTGAAAATATAAGCTTCTAAATTGACTAGACCTGACCTATACAACATTCAGGAACTTGTAGAAAGCAGAAGGAATCTATTCATTTATTTGTTAATCAATTACTTATTTATTTATTTTGGCAGCGCTGGGTCTTAGTTGCAGCACGCAGGATCCTCCAGTTGTGGCATGTGAACTCTTAGTTGTGGCATGCATGTGGGATCTAGTTCCCTGACAAGGGATCGAACCCAGGCCCCTTGCGTTGGGAGCATGGAGTCTTACCCACTGGACCACCAGGGAAGTCCCAAGAATCGTTTTTTAAAATTAATTTTTATTGGAGTATAGTTGATTTACACTGTTGTGTTAGTTTCTGCTGTACAGCAAAGTGAATCACTTATACGTATATCTACTCTTTTGAAGATTCTTTTCCCAAATAATCATTACAGAGTATTGAGTAGGGTTCCCTGTGCCATACAGTAGGTTCTTATTAGTTATCTATTTTCTATATAGTAGTGTGTATATGTCCGTCTCAGTCTCCCAATTTATCCCTTCCCCCAGGAATCTTCCAGAAAGTGGTGGGAAAGAGATTTATGAATTTATTAAAGTTAAATTTTGTGAACTTAAAATTAGTTATGGAAATGCACCTCATTACTACAGCAGTCCTACTTGCCTTGCAGACAGCAAGAATTCAACTTAGGGAGAAATGATTGCATATCTATATATAGGATGATAACATAGTGATTACAATATGGGCTTTGGAGTCAGATAGGCTTTGGTTTGAATTCTGGCTGTGCCATTTCACTCACTCCTTCATTCACCCTGTGATCTTTACTGATACTCAGTCACAGGGGACACGGTGGTGAACAGAACAGGCATTTTCTTGCCTCTGTGGACCTCATAGTCTAGTGGGGGACATAGATATTAAGTAAATAATCATACAAATAAATAATAGTTAATTTGGTGATAACACGAAGGATAAGTATTAGGCGACATGAGAGTGAATAACACAGGAAACTAATTTAGACTGAGGCTCAGGGCACATTGATTTAAAGACTGAAAACAGGTCACAGTGGCTAGGTAGAGTGAGCCAGAGTAAGAGATTAGAGTTGAGGGTAGAAAGGAGAGGAGAGGGAAGGAGACGGGGGAAGGAGGAAAGGGAAGGGGGGACGAGGGGAGGGGAAGAGAGGAGCCAGAAAACACAGCTGTGGGATTCAGATCAAATGCCTTATCATCTTTGAACCTAAATTTCTTTTTTATGCAATGTGGATAGTTGTAACAGCTTCACATGGTTGCACTTGGGATTAAATGGCATTGTATTTGAATCATGCTTAATACAGAGCTAGCATGATTAGTATTTACTACCTGGTGTCTATAAATAATAACACCCTCATGGAGTTTGCATTCTGTTGAGGTAATCATATCCACCTCAAGAATGGAAATAAGCAAAGAGAGGCTAATAGCTGTTTGAAGAGCTTCCACATTTATGCTCATTTTAGAAATGATTTTTAAAATTACAGTCACAACTGAAGAAAAAGGCAAGACAAAACATCTTAATGTTTTCTGATTAACAAGTGAATGTAAGTGACGTATCAGCAAGGTTACAAACTAAAGATACTGAGAGTGTGGATTAATGTAATTTCCCCTCATGTCCATGTAGCATGTAAAACCTTGAGATTAAGAATAGCTGTTACACAGGGAGTGACAATAAGCTTCTAAAGACAGGATGAGTTAAAGAAACAACTGCAATTTTATTAGCCAAGATATTTTCATAACAAGATACAGAAAAATTACAAATTAGATAGGATGAGACCTTCACCCTAACAAGGATTGAGTTATAATTTTTGTTCCTTCAAGGTAAGTATTTTTCAGTCTTTTAAGCTTTTATTCTTATCTAGCAAGATGTGGATGAATAAATAATTCATGGCCTTTCCTCCCCAGTGCATCTTGGTCAACTATCTCCTCTCCCTCCCATCTTCTTCTGAAGCTCATATCTCTGTTCTAGGTTGATCTCTCGCCAGGGCTAATTTTAAAAATATGAGGCTTGTTACTTTCTGTTTTTACAAGAGGTGAGTGAAACTCCATCTATACTTGTTCCAACAGGACCACTGTTTAGCAGTAGTAAAGTGTTATTGAAATTAAATAAATAAGTTCAGCCAGGTATTTTTATCTTTGATATGCTAATCCTAGAGATGTGAACAGAGGGATAGAAACCTTTCCATTCTGTTTGTCCATCTGTCTATCCATCCATCCATCATCCATCCATTCACTCATTTACTCATCAAACAGCAAATGTATATCCACTCAGCAGACATTTATAGAGGTGTCCATCATGTGCTAGGAAATGTGCTTGGTGCTAGGGATACAAATATAACTGATTTCTAGATTCCTCCCTCAAACCCACAACCTTGCAGCTGAATCATTTATTCATTTATTAATATTCAACATGTCTTTCATTAGCGTACCAGGCAGTGTAGACACTGGAGATACAGTGCTAAAAAACAGACACAGGGCCTGCCCTCATGGAGCTTATGTCCTAGTGGTAGACATAAAAACTAGTGTAGGAGATGAGGGCTATGCTCCTCAGAAGTGGGCTTGTGTCTACAGGTGTGCAAAATGATTTATGAGAGGTTCAGGAAGAAAATATTTGCATTATTATTTTAATCTCATCTTAATTTGTATTTTTGTGTATATTTGGTAATATGCGTAATATGACAGTAGTATATTTTTACATAAATAAATATTCAAATTTCTTTAACAAATTGATACTGATAGGTTGCATAAGCAAAAACGTTTGTAGACCCGCTGGTCAAAGCATGGATTTAGGTCAGGTAGGCTGTGGGTTTGTTGTCAGGTTCTGTCACTCACTATCTGTTGGGCAAGCCTGGGAGAGGAGAATTCTCTTCTGTAAGAACTGTAAGGATTGAATGTAATCGTGTTAGTACAGTGCTTACGTTGTGCTTATGTAGCTCAAATCCTCAAAGAATGATAGCTTATGTTACTGTGTTATTATTCACTTGATAAATATTAAAATGCAGACATCTTTAAAGTGATAGAGAAATATTGGGAAGGGACTGAGTAAGCAGTGACCCTTCGTGTCATGAAACTATTATAATAAATTATTGGTAGGAATGTAAATTAGTGCTACTTATGTGTTGACATATGTACGAAAATCCTTAAAATGTTTATTCACTTGGACCCAGTTGTTTCCCTTCCAGGAATTTATCTTAAGGAAACAATCAGAAATTCTAACAGATGTGTAATAGTGACAGATAGGTAAAAGAACGAAATGTCTATCAATAGAATAGTGAGATTAAGTTACAGCTTTGTGATGGAATGTTGTGCATCTCTTAACATTTTAAAAGAATACTTGGGAAAATATTAATATTTAGCGAAGAAGATAGGATACCAAATTATTGTTATAGTGTAACCCCAATTATGTTTTTTAGAAAGCACACAATATATATGTATAAGAAAAGTACTATAAAGAAATGCATGAAAATATATCAGTATTGTCTCTGGTAAGAATGTGGGTGACATTTATCTTTTTTCATTGATTAGACAATCAGAGAATTATTAACCAAAATAAATAAAGCAAGCTGAGGATGAGTGGTAAATCGGGTAAAGAATCTAAAACAATGGTACAAATGAACGTATCTACAGAACAGAAATAGAGCCACAGAAGTAGAAAACAAACTTCTGGTTACTAAGCGGGTAAGGGGTGGGAAGGGATAAATTGGGAGACCGGGATTGACACATACAAACTAATATATATAAAATATTGATAGATAAGTAATAAGAAGCTACTGTGTAGCACAGGAAACTCTATTCAATATTCTGTAATGACCTATATGGGAAGAGAATCTAAAAAAGAGTGGATATATGTTTATCTATAACTGATTCATTTGCTGTGCAACAGAAACTAACACAACATTGTAAATCAACTGTACTCCAATAAAAATTAAAAAAAAAAATTCTGCCCGGGTACGCTAGGAAAGTTTCACAGAGAAGCCAGTCCTAACTCTTGAATTGAGTCCAGGCGTTTCTCAAGTGGAGGAAGAGACTGGGAAGGAGGTAGAAGGACCTCAAGCGTGGAACATGAAAGATACCTGGCATGTTTAGACAAATCTCATTTGTGACTGAAGGTTAGGCTAGATATTGACATGGGGACAGAAACACTGATAACAGGCCTTTGGTGATTGAGAGGAGATTTGTACAACGTAAGGAGATTATCCCTTACCTTGTCTAAGATGGGCAGCTTTGGTAGGTAGGGAGGGACCTGATCAGGTGTGCGTTTCATCCCGTCTACTCTGCAGCAGTGGGAAGGTTAGATGAGCACAAAAGGAGATGCGTGGAAGGCAGGAGAGTGAGGCAGCTGTGGCATCCGTCTACATTTACTTTTGGATGCAGTTTAGGCAGAGCCATTTTCAATCCTAATGTTGAAATGCCTTAAAATTATTACATCAGCTTAGCACATATGACGTTTGAGAGCTTGGTAAGTTGCAGTTAGATATATGAAGCCTCTCTTCTCACCTAGCAGGACATATTTTACTGGTCTCAGCAGGAGGCTGGATCCAGATGATGAGTCTTAATACAAGAGGGTCTCAGGAATGTGTTTCTGATATTAACTAAGCTGATGTTGTCCAATGACATTCAGAGGATTGACTGAAGAAGCTGCATTCATTCATTCTCTGCTCTGCTTCAAGATTATCCCAGAAAAACCAAAACCCGAGAGAGATGCCTGTTTGGACTCCACTGTTTTGACCCTGCTATAGGAGTGCTTTTACTGAACAAAGGCTTGCCATTATGCCATTGGATTGTTCCATGGGTTTTGAAATTTGTTGTGATTTCCTGTAGTGAACAGGTGTCCTGCTACTGAGCAACTTGTTTGCTTTACCTCATGGTTCCGGTAGATCGTGTGACCCACATTGATCTGCTTGGAAGAGCCAAGTCACACTGGTTCACCCCTAACAAGTGCACGGCACCAGCAGCGCACACAGGACACTCGCTTCCTCTTATTCGTTCCCTCTTTCAATCTTTCTTTCCTGCCATTTGCTTAATTCCTTTTTTGTTTTTCTTGTTTTGACATTGGACGAGAAATAAACTTGAAACTTTGCATGGAAGTTAAAGTCATTCTCTAAGGTCTTGACCTTTGGTAAACTGTGAAGATTACAGGAAACACTAGTGGGGTGGGGACTAGCCTTTAGTTTATGATCCTGCCGTGATATAGATGAAGCTATTCAGTGACTGGGAGGTATGTTCCAGAACACCCACAGAGTCAAAGGCAAGACAACTTTTCTCTTGTCGGGGCTTATGGTTATGTGATACATCCATGGTGTCTGGATACTAATGCTACTGGAGACGGACAGGCTGCGATGGGTCATAGTGGGAGAATCTGTGTGCTTCCTAAACCAGCCCATCATCGCTGGGGCTCGGTGTGCGGTAGAAATCAGCCAGCTCCAGAGACTGATGGAACTTGGTATAGCAGATGAGAACAGGATGAGATTGTGGAGTGAATCAAATGGGAGGACTAAGATATTAATAAAAAGAGCATCTATCCATCCACCCATCCATCCACCCATCCATCCATCCACCCACCCATCCATCCATCCACCCATCCATCCACCCATCCATCCATCCATCCATCCACCCACCCATCCATCCATCCATCCATCCACCCATCCATCCACCCACCCATCCATCCATCCATCCACCCATCCACCCATCCATCCACCCACCCATCCATCCATCCACCCACCCATCCATCCACCCATCCATCCACCCATCCATCCACCCACCCATCCATCCGCCCATCCATCCACCCATCCATCCACCCACCCATCCATCCATCCATCCACCCATCCACCCATCCATCCACCCATCCACCCATCCATCATCCATCCATCCATTCACTTATTCTACAAATAATTATTGAACATTTACATTGTGAGGTACTGGTTAGGTGCTAGGTATGACTTCATGAACATCACAGTCTTTGGAGGGAGGGAGACAGTAAATACTTAATTACACATATAATGTATTCCTTACCATTGTGTGAGTGCTGTGAAGGAGAAGCATAGGCTGTATGAGAGAATAACTGAAAGATAGTGGTGTGGTCAGGTGGGAATTTTGATGGGTCAAGTCTTTCAGAAAATTAAGCAGAGGGAAAAATGGAGTGTGAAGACTTTGAAATTGCAAATATGAGAAGAGTGAGAGGATTACTTCTTTTTTTTTTGGGCTGCATCGGGTCTTAGTTGTGGCACGTGGGATCTTTCATTGCGGCGCAAAGTCTTCTCTCTGGTTGTGACGCATGGGCTCCAGAGTGCACAGGCTCAGTAGCTGTGGCGCGCGGGCTTAGTTGCCCCGTGGCATGTGGGATCTTAGTTCCCTGACGAGGGATCGAACCTACGTCCCCTGCATTGGAAGGCGAATTCTTAACCACTGGACCACCAGGGAAGTCCCGAGAGGTTTACTATTCAGGTGAATACACTGTCCATTAGTTGATTTTCTTGTGGCCTCTGACCCCTCCTTTGATCTTCCCCAGCTGCCTCCTGCTGAGCTCTTTATTAGGGATCATGTGATGCAGGTCCTGCGAGGAGAGGGTGAGATTAGGCGTTCTATCTTTAGAAAGGAAGGGCTTCCTAAGCAGGAGTCTGCCCACTCTGGTCTGTCCTCTACAGTGTGCTGAGGACATCCTTGCCCTCTCCATGATTAGTAATGAGACTTGCTAAGCACTGCGGTTTGGGATTTGAAATCTGCCTTTAACCCGTTTTATTCTGGACATAAAAGAGAAAAATTAATTCTGAAAACTTACTTGTGGATCTTGACTTGTCATCTTGCTTTGTCACTTTGCAACAACTCTTACGAGGAGGTTAAAAATTATTTGGTTTCTTTCTAACGTGAAACCTGGAGAGATTACACATGCTGACGTTCCACAGTCTTCTCATTGTTTACAAAATTTGTCTCTCAGGAGACTGTCGCTGGCAGGAGTGTGTATGCTGGAAGTCATGGCCTCCTTTTAACAGAAGAAATATTATCAAAATGATGAAGCAGCATCATTTTTGTTGAGTTTCCTTTGGGCAGAGCTATGAGTTACCCTGGAAGAGAAAGCAGGGATTTAGTGCAACACATGTTATTTAGGTTGTTTTCTCTCTCTGGCTTGTCCTTTGTTAATTGGAGATCTTTTTAGAGTTAATAAAAACATTAAGAATCATTGAATTCTTGTTTTAATCCTTGCAGATACTGTTTTGGCTATAATATTGTATTATTCCATTCATTTTTGTGGTGAACTTCCTGTCCAAAATGTAGTCAAAACCTTCTTGCTGCCCAAAAAATACATTCCAAGTATTGCTGGAAATTCAATGATTATTCTTTTTACCTCTGCTGCCTTGTGCACGCTGAGGTTCAAGTTCAGGGTTTCCTGCTGCCTCTGCAGCCAGTAAAGAATTCACATGGTATTCAGTTTCTTAAGTCTGAAGATTAGGATGTGAAAGCTGAGAACATAGTAAATTGGCCTCTTTAAACATGCTTTCAGTTGTCTTTCACTTAATTAAGAAATTGATTTTAATATTACAATTATATCCACTTTTCCTTTAAAAATGAGAACATTACATATAAACTATAGTTCCCTTTGTCAATCACCTCTAATCCTGATCCCCTTCTCCAGAGGGAATTATTAAATACGTTTGGTGAGTATCCTCCAGACCATTAAAAAAATACTTTTTGCATTCATACTTAAACCTAGAAAATATGTTGTTTTGTCTAACATGTATTTTAAAAACATACACGGTATCATACTATTAGTAAAATGATAAAATGATTTACTTTATTTGAAAAACAGTATGTTTTTGAGATCGATCTATGCTGCTCTAAATAGGTTTAGTTCTGTTCTTTTAACTGCTTTCTAGTTTCCCATCTAATGGATGTACTATTGTTGACCAATTCCTGTATTGATGGACACTGTGAACCACGAACATTCATGTACAATTACAAGTAGAATTGTGGGTCACGGGGTATACGCCGAAGTGTCTCCTGCAGTGGCAGGGACGTTTTATATGCCCATTCATTAATCCTACTTTAAACTTAATTTTAAAATTATATAGCACAGAAAAGCAATCACTGCTTCCAGATCTACTACCAGTTGTTTGCTATTTGGCAAAAGAATTTCCTTTTTAGTCCTTAATAGCTTCATTTTTGGATGAGAGGATAAGAACAGTCCCTGGGGGATAAGAATAGTCAGAGGGGACTTCCCTGGTGGCTCAGTGGTTAAGAATCCACCTGCTAATGCAGGGGACACGGGTTCGAGCCCTGGTCGGGGAAGATCCCACATGCTGCGGAGCAACTAAGCCCATGCACCACAGCTACTGAGCCTGCGCTCTAAAGCCTGTGAGCCACAACTACTGAAGCCCTCCTGCCACAGCTACTGAGTCCACGTGCCACAACTACTGAAGCCCGTGTGCTGCAACTACTGAAGCCTGCGCGCCTAGAGCCTGTGCTCCGCAACAAGAGAAGCCACCGCAATAAGAAGCCCGCGCACCGCAATGAAGAGTAGCCCCTGCTCAAAGCAACTAGAGGAAGCCCGCGCGCAGCAACGAAGACCCAATGCGGCCATAAATAAATACATACATAAATAAATAAATTAAAAAAAAGAATAGTCATAGGGCTGTTGTGAAGATTGAATGGAAATAGTTCCCCCCCGCCCCCCCCCCAAAAAAAGGAAATAGTTCCTGGTTCAGTGAATATTAGTTATGATCATATATATATGTATATATATGAGATACATATCTAATATATAAGTATATATAAGATACATATTTAATATATATTGTTGTATCAGGATTAGTACTTGAAGCAAACCCTCAAAAGGTTTGGCATCTAAGTTTTTCTAACTGCAACCCTTCCCCATCTGAAAAGATGACTCAGTTTCTTTTAGTAGAGCCACAGTATTAAGAACATTTTGGAATACTGCATTCTCTGCAATGAAGATAGAGTTAGAAGGGTTTTTAAGTGACACCCAAGAAAAAAGGGATTAGAGAACAATGGAAAAATAATAGATCGGCTTCTTCACAAAACTTGATTTAATGCAGAAATGTCTTTCTCCAAAATTTGTCCCACAACTGCTAAAATGTAGACACTCAGATTTATTTCCTGAATTCCACACCCATCACACTGTCCCCTGCAGGCAGTAGTAAACCCCGGAAACCAAATGCAGATATAAGAAGGAAAAGCAGGAGGGCCAGGAAAATCCTTGAAAATCCGGAGAAGAATTGATGGGTAGTCAAAATTGGCATTGGTTGGAGAAATACAATTTGTAAGACTTAATTTATGCTCTGTAAATTAGGGAAGAAACTACTTGGGGGGAAGAAGCTGGAGAGTAGGGGAGAGAGTCTTAGAAGGGATTGCTCACTGGGGCAGCAGTGAAGGCTTAAAGAGGGATGGGGAGAGAGAGGGAAGGAGATAGAGAGAGAGAGGCTAAAGGAAGCACTCCACAGTGGA